ATAATATATATATATATGTATCTTCCTTCATCCATTTCTCCTTTCTACTCATTGCCTCTCTCTCTCTCTCTCTTTCTCCCTCTTTGTATATATATACATTTATATCTCTCTTCCTTCATCCAATTCCCCCTGTACTCATTGCCCATCTCTCTCTCTCTCTCTCTCTCTCTCTTTGTATATATATATTTATCTATCTCTTCCTTCATCCAATTCCCCCTGTACTCATTGCCCATCTCTTTCTCTTTCTCATATTTTTCATTCTCTGCCCATCTGTAAATCTATCTCTTCTTTTACTCTTTCTCTTACATTCTGACTTCTCAAAATTCTAGTTTCTGAATGTAATTAATGAACAGACAACGTTTACTCTTTTTACACCATTTATTTTCAAGTTCCAAAAGAAGAAAAAAAATCTCTCTAATATGACATGCACATGAATATCATACAATAGAATCTCCAGAATAATTATTCTATCAGCTCTGTATATCGTGCATGAATTGGCATTCTGCACGGCACAACACACAATGTTCTCCCTCTTTCTTTTACAACAAAAAAGATAGCAGAGAATGGAGCGAGACAATTTGAAAGAAGACCTCAACGCACTAGCTACGATCGTGATTATAATACAAAGGTGCTTAATATAAATAAAGCAATGTACACAAACGAAAATCTTAGTACATTTAGCTTTAAGATCCAGATATATCAGTTATGGCAGTTACATGCATGTGCTCTTGATATCCCTAAACAGTTACAATAGTTTTGTTTCCCCTCTTCTTAATTTACAGGTTTGTGTTTCGCACAAGAACATAAGCACAGGTTGTCATGGTTGTAGACAAAAGGACATTGGTTCAAGTTCCATCTAGAAGTCTTAATGTCTCATATTAATAATTAATGCATGGCAATGGTAATACTCATTTCAATGCTGAAGTTCAAATTCAAATTTTCTTCTCGCAAAAAAATGGCATGTACATGAAGTGCAACCACAGAATCATTAGTATTTCTAAAAATTCTCACAGGAATTCATGAATACTGAAATCAACTATATCAATGACCAATCGTCATTCTTTTCCGACAACAATAGGGCATATGCATATAAATACATTATTATTAATGTATTTAACTAATACATTATATTACGTATTTATAGTATCTGGAAGGATTTGCATACTCTTGACATAACGATTATGTCTCCTCTACAAGTCTCCTCATAAATCCAAGTTGGCATTTACTTTATCTCACAGAAAAGGCCTATATGTTACAGATATGTAGGTGTCACTTGATAAATATAACATTTGGAAGGATTAATTTGATATACTCATTGCAAATAACATCTCTGTCGCAGAACATATAACTCTGTATTTAAACATAGAGGTATATATTTTCTCATTGTTCAAAGGCCTACCAACAAATTGACTTCAGTTTTACAGTAATTATCAATCCTGTTTTTGTACTACTACAAGATTTGAACTCCCTCTATAGTAACTATATAGTGAGAACCAAATTGCAGTACTGCCAACAGCTATGCCTAATAAACAATAAACCAATAAATAAATCAAATTTAATGCACAAATCTTTGTTGAATGCCTTGTTACAAATTATTTCATTCACCTGTTACGAATAAATATAAGCATACATGTAAGTCAGAGTTCAAAATGCATACATTAGTTGTTGCTAGGTAGGACAAACATTATTTGTTGCTAGGTAGGACAAACTTTATGGCTTGCCCTACCTAACCTAACACGTAATATATGCAATTCGCATTCTGACTATTGAAATACAATTATTTATAACAGGTGAACAAAATAATTGGTAACATGGCAATTAACAAAGATTTATGCATTAAATTTGATTCCATTACGAAAATGTCATATTCAACAAATGTCACTTCATATTACTTTCCATTGGAGAATAATAAGAATCTACATGATAATTATAATCTTAGTCCAACTGCAAGCATGTTTAATAAACAGGCTATTTTCTAAACCTGGAATGCATGAATGAGAAATCAACACAATAATTATTTTAAAAAACAGCACTGCATTTGAAATCAAATTGCTTCCGAACCAAAAAAAAGAAATATAAAGTCAAATCAATATAAAGCAAACAGCAATACCAGAATTTGGCTTTCCAAGTCGATCGAACCTCACACAATCTGACCAAAATTATAACTTCCTTTAAAATATGGTCTTTGTGGGTACCTGATAGGAATTTATATTCCTTGCATGCTGTCAGCACCTTTGGGCAGCTGGGCTTAAGTCATGGTAATAATAGTACTTTGTACGCACCATGAGCATCCCCTGGTATGGATGTGTACGCAATATCAATATAGCTGTTATTAAACTTATTTATTTGTAGAATCACATAGTATGCTACACATTAACCAGAATTTAATGTACATCATATTTAAGAATACCTGATAATGAAGCTTTTCTCCAAAACAAAATACTTCATCACTAGAAAGCAGCTTCATCTCATTACAACCTATAAACATCTAACAAAGAATTATGACATAATTTACAACACAATTTACAACAGGCTGATTTCCAGCTCTTCAAAATTTCTTCTGAAATACAACTGTACTAATACTACATCTACTAACTACAATCAAAGATCTGCCCCTCTTTCACAATTTTTATTTCAGCATTGTAAAAAAGTGCATTTATTCACATAAATGAGATACTGAACAATTACAAAGAAATAAATTCATTTCATAACACATTTCACCCTCAACATTATTATTTATTTTGTGTTGAATTCTCCACGTCAAAGAAAAATACAGGGGAAAGCAGAGCTGCAGATCTATCAAAAGATACTCAAATTAATCAGCTGACATAAGTAAAAGGTTCATGACTGGTATAAAAGAAATCATGATCGAAAGTTTCCTGTTATTGAGTTCATTTATGAACTAAAAACAGATTTACATTTATCAAAACTGCATTGGTGCTGTATCAGCTGGCATGTTAATTAAGCTGCAATGCTGTCCACAATTATCTTTGGTTCTTAAATACGGTGTCCATTTATAACTTGATTTTGTTTGGCATACCAAATCTCTAAAAGATAACGAGATCTAAAGTTTTAATACTGATTTTAACATGAAAATAACCTTTTTTCGTTTAACAAACAAAGATATTTCACTTCATAATACTTCGAATATTTTTTGGCAAAAATTTCATGAAAACTTTAAAGATTACCGGTAACAATAAAAGAACAATATTCTCTCCTAAGAGACGAGGTGAATAATCCTACTTTTAACATTACATTCTCAACTACTTGAGATGAATATGATTATATCACATGTTCTATGTAGCACCTTTATATTTTTAATGCTTGATCTCATATTCGCATTACCCTATAAGTGATATGTAAAGATTTCATTTCTAATTCATCATACAATAATTAGCTATTGCCTATTTGTGGTGCATTAATTCAACCTCAACCCTTTAGGATAGAAAGAATAATCTACATGACATCCCCTTTGTAAATGGAGTATAACAATCTCCCAATTATATCAAGTGGTTCATTTTTATCCAATGTATCTTGTCAAAGCTTCAGAATTATTCAAAATTATTCAAATCTTGTAGCTTCAGCTCAAAAAATAACTCTAATTGGACTCTTTTCTGAAAATAAAGCATGGTGCTTCAATAAGTCTGAAAGTAAAGTTGTAGAAGGCTTGCTTGCTAGCTAATGCTTTATTCCTAGAGTGCTCTACAAGTATAGAAATACACCATTTGAAGGCACTTGTTGTTTTAATATATATTTCCTCTTTGTTTAAGTGGCAGATAAGAATTGATGTTATATTGACTACCCTGTACATCTAGCTGTCAAAGGAATGATTCTGATATCTTTCCAATTTTACATCTTATACTTTTGGACTTATTTCATCTAAGGAAGCTCATTATAGACACATGCTTTTGTGTCCTCTCTCTAAAAAAAAAGCCGATAGAAAATATATCCTATTAGTTGAAGCCTTCCTAAATATATGACACTAACCATGTAGTGTAGTAACCACCTATGGCACTTTCACTGTGAGGTAGCTCTACATCTAAGCTACATTAAACCAAATTAAAACAGATTTACATAACTTTGTCCAATTTTTGTTCTTATTTCAATATATCTAATTGGTTATGAGACATATTCAAAGTTAAAATCCTAACATCTCGATTTAGATGCATCTTTGCATTCACCCTCCAGATGGAAACTTTCAATATACTATCTTGCATGACTTGCCTCTATCATTTAACATAAGTGGAACAGACAAATCAAAAATCAAAAATCAAAAATGAAGAAAAAGACAGACCGACCATGCATTGAATCTACATTGCCAAACTGAAAACAATCCAAATTGTTGCTTCTCTAAAATATATATATATATATTATATGGATCTGCATGCTCATGCTCAGAAAAATATGATTTGACACACATACATATAATGTACAAAGATAGAAATTATTTGCACAATTCTTTGAATCAAATACTTTACAAATAACACTGTACTACCCTGTTTGTCTCTCTTTCAAAGCTTATTATCTTTCGCAATCATCCGTCAATACAAATCATCTCCGACATAACATCTGGCGATATTAACATCGTGTTTCTTTGATCTGGTTATATACCGAATAGTTCTTTGAAGGACTATCTAAATCGTGCTCACTAAGACTATATCATATAGCTCAATATTTCCAAGGTTCATGAGTGAACAAAAACTTCCTAAACCTGGCTCGATCTTATGACGAATGATCCAAATTAATCCAAAATCTTCCTCTTACATTTAGCTGTGTTGTAACTATATCAGCTACAGAATGAACATTAAGGTAAAACACAGTCAACTTCAAACAATCAACTCATGAAAAACTGGTGAAAAAATATATCACATCAAAGGTATGTTGGTGCCATTCACTAAGTGCAGATTTTTATTCATTATTTTCATTTTATTTTTTATTTCCATATTTTCAATTTTTGCTTTTTAATCTGCAGCATTTCATTTTTTTAATTCATTTTTTTATTTTTTTTATTTATTTATTTAAATGTTTTTGGTGGCAATGATAACAAGCCATTCATAACTTCCAAGAAGTTTTTACACATTGTCTGCCGATAGCTAGAAGGGCGTTATCTCATACACTTCTTTACAGAGTTAACGTCCTTCTGGCTCCAGCTTTTATACATGGTCGATTTACGGGACAGTGTCATCTGCTGAGAACCATAAGGGCACAAATCTTGGTTGAAAAGATGGATTAACGCCCTTATGTCTTTCAGAACACAACATATGACCCTAGGGTGAGAAGCAGAAGGTTGTTATGAATATCAGGTACACAAACTAACTCACTTAGTTCCTAAAGTCCTTCTGTTTCTCATCCCTCAATATATATATATATATATATAATCTCTTCACATAAACAACTAGATTTCAGCCGTATATCAATATGTAGTGTGGTTCTGAGGCCTTCTCAGCTTTGTGCAGTCAAAGTCTACTACAAGAGACTACAGTGTATGGTACATATAAATGGATGGCCAACTCCACGTTCAAATGCCTAGTGAAAAATGTACATCAATACTTTCATGGTAACTTTAAGGCCAGCTTAGGTAGAGCCTCTCCATATTGTTGAAGACATCAAATGCAGGCTGCCAAACAGGCACATTTTCTAGATGAACATATATCATATCTCTGATATAAAAAGCTTTTGAAGACTAGCCACCTCAAGTGGTTCTAGTCCCATTCACAGACATTGATGTTGATTATTCAATGATTTCAATGATTCAGGTTTGAAGAAAAAAATACATGTTTACATGTATATTGTACGTAGAAAAGGGACTTATGACTTTACCTCCTGTCCAAGGGACAAGGGTCTAAAAAATGAGGCATATTCAATAAAAATTTAACATACCACGCTGGTTTTGATCATTACAGAGCCTTGGGATATTGATCCCAGAATCTTTCAATTCTGGCACAAAGTAAACAATGACCTTGTGCCTCTTATCAAACATTTGGTTAAAAGAAATTCCCTTTGCTGCATACATGTACATGTTCTTACAGTCAAACCTGTCTACTAAGGCCACCCATGTGACCTCTATAGACAGGGTGTAAATAAATCAGTTTCTCTGAGGGGGCACAAGTGACCACTGAGTTAAGTTTTTTATCTTATATCTTCTAGCTCTCTGGAAAGAAACAACTTAAAGGCCATCTTTACTAGTTTGACAAGGACGGATAAGACCACCCAGCAAGGTCACTGACAGGTGGCTAATCTTATCAACTCAGCTCTCAATTAACATAAGAAAAAGAGGATCATGGGGGACCAATGGTCACCAATTAGGCATTGTTTGCTATATAGAGGGAGCAAGTAGCTACAAGTAGTACAGTGTGGCTTTAAGTGGCTACTACAGATAGGTGGCTACTACAAATGAACATAGAGATGGCCGTCACATAGAGGTGGGCATTATGACACGTTGGACTGTACTAGAAGATAGAGTAGTAATATACACTTCAGATTCTTAGACTACACACTACATACGGTACGGTACTGTTGTGTGGTGATCGTCATCATGCCTTGTTGGCGTTGTCTTGGAGTTCGTAATCGCCACCCTTCGACTTCTTTCCCGACTTATCTCCCTTCCTGAAGCCATCCATGATGTCGTCGAACGTCCTGTTCTTAGTCTCGGGAACGTAGAAGTAGGAGAAGATGGTCGTCAAGATCACAAAGAACATGAAGACCAAGAACGAGTATGCCCCTACGGTAGCCTGTAGGACACAAACGACAAAAGGAAATGGGGTTTTGGGTTATGACCTTGCTGACCTGTGATGCATACCATAATGATTGGCTGGCTTCTGTCCCAACTAATAAAGCCAATTATTTTAGCATTGGATATTATTATAGCACACATACATGTATTCACCATGCAAGGTGGTCAAGGCGCTCCAATATTACTAGGGCTCTAGCTGGACTAGCCATTTACATCACAGCATACAACAAATTCTTTCCTTAACACCTGGGTGGAGAGTGGCAAATCAAGATTACTGTCTTGCCAAAGGACACTAGTGAAGTACCGTGCTGGGACTCGAACCCATGACCCTTCTCGTTTCCAGTCAAGTGTTTAAACCACTCAACTATGGTGACACCAAAGTGCACCAATATTTAGTCTGGAAGCTGATACTCATTCCAGCAGGGCAGGTTATTGTGTTCCTCTACCCCTACCCCTTACTCCCCCACCACCCACCCCTACCACTCCAAAATCTACCTCAATGTTCCAAATCGCTGAACACTCACCTGAATAACGGGGAAAGTAAGACCAACAAGGATGTTACACCACCAGTTAGTCTGGATGGCGATACTCATAACAGCAGGGCTGGGTTATTGTGTTCCTCTACCCCTACCCCCTACTCCCCTATCCCCTACCACTCCACAACCCCACTAATGGTCCCAAGCACTGAACACTCACCTGAATAAAGGGGAAAGTGAGACCAACAAGAAAGTTACACCACCAGTTAGTCTGGATGGCGATACTCATAGCAGCAGGGCGTGGTTATTGTGTTCCTCTACCCTACCCCCTACTCCCCCCCCCCCCCCAATCCCTTATCCCTACCCCAATGGTCCCAAGCACTGAAAACTCACCTGTATAAAGGGGAAGGTGAGACCAATGAGGAAGTTACACCACCAGTTGGTCTGGATGGCGATACTAACGGCAGCAGGGCGGGTTATTGTGTTTCTCTACCCCTACCCCCTACTCCCCCATCACCCTACCCCTACCACCCCACCATGTTACCCCAATGGTCCCAAGCACTGAAAACTCACCTGAATAAAGGGGAAGGTGAGACCAACAAGGAAGTTGCACCCCCAGTTGGTCTGGATGGCGATACTCATAGCAGCAGGGTGTGGTCATTGTGTTCCTCTACCCCTACCCCTATCTCCCCCACCAACTTATCACCCTATCCCTACCACTCCACCAACCTACCCCAATGGTCCCAAGCACTGAACACTCACCTGAATAAAGGGGAAGGTGAGACCAACAAGGAAGTTACACCACCAGTTCGTCTGGATGGCAATACTCAAAGCAGCAGGGCAGGGTCATTGTGTTCCTCTACCCCCACCCCCTACTAACTTACAACCTTACCCCTACCACCCTGACCACCCCACCAATGGTTCCAAGCACTGAACACTCACCTGAATAAAGGGGAAGGTAAGACCAACAAGGAAGTTACACCACCAGTTGGTCTGGATAGCGATACTCATGGCAGCAGGGCGTGGTCCCTGGGTCCACAACTCAGGAACAATCACAAATGGTACAGGACCTAGAGAAAAATAATATTATAATTATTTATTCATTATCAGTTTATTTTATATTTTGTCTACATGGATTTCACAAGAACACACACAGAACTTAACCAATGATAACAGAGTGATATTTTGTCTACATGCATTTCACAAATATATACAAAGAACAAAACTAATGATTACAAGTTGTTTTTTTTTGTAAATGAAGAAAATTATTTTGTCTACATGTATTTCTCAAATATATACACAGAACTTAACCAATGATAACAGATTGATATTTTGTCTACATGGTCATGCATTTCACAAATATAAACAAAGAACATAACTAATGATAGCATATATACATACAATCATACACTATTTATAATGGCAAGATGAGTAATATGGTCTTGAGATCATACCTGTACATTAATTGCAATGAAATTATTATTCTATTTATTATGTCAAATCAGGATTACTAAGCATAATTTTGTACTGATTCTACCCAGATTCTTATTGGGGGGGGGGGGGGGGGAGGGAAATATTGATCAATTTAAAGGGCATCCCTGGGTTCAGAATAATTTTGTTTTTATAAAAGTCTAAAATTCCTGGAAACTGATAAAGATGGCACATTTGAAAACACACTGCAGCAGTGGCAGTAATGTCGTCAAAATACCCTGCCTTTAAAAAAATTGGAATACCCTTTTATAGAAAATATATTACTTCTGTTAAAGATATAAAAAGGTTCAATGACTTACCTGGTCCAACAGCGAATGATACAATGTAGGCATAGATGAAGATGAGAGACAACCATTTCATCCAATCAAAAGTAGGCTATAATAAGAAAAACAAAAACAAATTAAAAAGTAGTCTACAATAACATTGGAACAGTTAGAGTACCAGTAAGTAAATTGTAAGATATCCACGCAAGATCTCAAGGGCCTGTTTCATAAAACAAATGCTAATATTTCTTTGACAAATTTGCTCTCAGCCGATCAAATGCCACGATTTCAGTAGCTTATAACACTTATGGTAATCTGTTATTGATATTGTATGCTGTGAGCATGAAGGATGCTATAAACTAAGAGCACTTTACATAGTGTTAAAGGTAATACAAACTTTTGGTGTGGGGTCATGAATTTGGTTCAAATAAACATACGGTATTAGGAGCATATGCGATCCTACAATATTCAGTGATCGTTGTCGCGATTGAAATCGAGTCTTAAGTTATGAAACTGTAAATAATAAACTCTTTATGTTGTATAGCTCCCTCTCAACATCAAGGTATTAATTAAGCTATAAAACAATTTTTCCTGACTAAAATCTACCGATTAGCTATTCCCGTTTGGAAATTACACATCACAACTATATGTTCTGAGATTTTCATGGTCGCAGCTACTATTGAAATTTATCAAAATTTACAGGGAGCACCGGTAAATTTTTATATTCAATTTTTCTCGAAAGCAGAAGTGTTTTAGGGGCTAAATTTTTTAGTGCTTATAATACATCCTCAGGGGCATCTCAATATATCAAAATTGTAAAGAATCACTATCCACCCAATTTTCCAAATTTCCCAAAACTTTGTATTACCTTTAATACATTCCTTGCTCTGAACAGATGATACATCTAGCTTAGCCAATACAATCAAACCTGCTTTAGTGACCACCTGTCACATTTTTTGTTTCCCTTGAAAATGGCTTCTCATTCAAACATGTACTAAAGGAACCTGTCTACAAAGACCACTTTTCGTGTTTCCCTTGGGCTGTCGCTATGGACAGGTTTGACTGTGTATGGCTGTCAGATTGAATAGTTTTGATAATAATGACACTTGTAAAATGGGGGATTCATTTCTGCAAAACGGGCTCACATCATTAAAAATCATAGATTGTCGCTTTATATTCCACTCCTTTAGACAAATATTTGTTGTGAAAAAGTATTTTTTAACATTTAATTGCTTTTAAATCAATTTTCTGACCACCTCTCATCTGTTGGTTGGAAGAAAAAGATAATAATATGAAATGAATGCATTTGTATTGGGCGGACTCTAGTACATCGCTCTTACAAGGCCCCCCTGACACATCACTGATGTCCTTTGCCAAGGCATTAATCTACATTTGCCTCTCCATACCCTGGGGGCCCTACGTTACTGAATTTCCATATGCTCTCACAGTGACCATACGGTAAAAATACTCCCCAGGGAGTGGAGATGGTGCACATTGTGCGTGAATGAATCCAATGACTTTCCCTATGCTCTCACGGTGACCATACGGTAGGAATACTCCCAAGGGAGTGGAGATGGTGCACATTGTGCGTGAGTGAATCCAATGACCGGGGTAATAATATCTGTGAAGCTCTTAGAGAAAGTATTTCGTATTAAGCGCCATATAAATTCAGATTACCAGTACTATTAGATTTATATCATTACAATTACGTATGGATGAGAACTTACGACTTACGAAAGTGAGCAGGAAATCATTTGAGAAGATACAGAGGAAGAGACTGTTTTCTTACCTGGAGATTTAAACTGACTGTGAGGAGAGCTAAACATATGGCCATTAGACCGAATGGGACGACCGTTAGAATACGACGTCCAGCACGCTCAACCATGTACACCTGCAATAAAGATAGAGTAATGGCAGATAAGACAATGTATCAAATACATACTTTAATAGGGAAAATATAGAGGGTTCAGTAAAACAAAGGCGTAACTCCATATTTTGCCAAAATGAGTATTTGATATCAAAATGTTCAGAAAAAAATGTGGGCTTTCCAAGAAACACAAAGACTTAACTCCACCCAACACCCTATTGAAGTCAATGGCTAGTGAAACATAGACTTAACTCCCTAAGGCCCAAGTGCTCAGTGACACATAAACCACTTTTTCTCAAAATGGCCAAAATGGAGTTACGTCTTTGTGTCACTGACCCCTCGATATGAATGCATGAAGAAACTTGGACCAGACAACCGAAAGCAACATTGAGAATGGCAAGTACAGCAAGTTAAAAACAAAAAGAAACTCTTCATAGTGTTATTTAATTTAATACACACTTGTGATGGAATACATGAACCCCTATTTACTAGTGTAAGAAATTGTGATTTACCTTTTGAAATTTTGGTATTAAAGTTTTGGACTTGACATGCAACAAAGTACACCATGTGCACAAGCAAGGAGAAATAAAAACTGGCTGAATAGTTCAGGTTCCATTTTATAGCAGTTCTCTGGTTACATTTCCACCAAAAATGTAAACGGTATTTAAAATTTCAAATCTTTGAATCAACCAGGGTAAAATAGAAATGATTATTGTCCTTTACAAGCTAGCATAGGTATGGGATGGTTCCAAGCAGATATTCCAAGATGATACAGGATGCAAGACTTACCGAGATAATCGTCATGACGACGTTGATGGCACCTGTTCCGATGGTGGCGTAAGCAACCTCCTCTGCTCCCATACCAGTCTGGCGGTAGATTTCTGTGGCATAGAAGAGAACCTACACGAGGAGGAAGGGATGGAAGAGACAGAGAAAGAAGAGAGTTAGGAGAGGAGAATATTTGATCTTCACTATTACCATCTTCCTTGTGACTGTCAATTTCATCTTCATCTTGACCCTTGTTATTGTCATCATCTTGACCATTATTTGTCATCAACACCCCATCAGCATCATCATCGTTATCTACATTGTCTTTGATGACATCATCAGGGATCATCATCTTCGTCGTTATCATCATTGTCTGTCATTATCATCACCCTTATCATCATCTTTTTCTTTATCAGCATCATAATTATCTTCATCATCAACATTTTCATCATCTTCATCATAATTATCATATATTTCATAATCATGTTTACCACCATCACCATCACCACCACCATCATCATCATCATCATCATCATCATCGTCATTGTCATCGTCATCGTCATCGTCATCGTCATCGTCATCGTCATCGTCGTCGTCGTCATCATCATCAACACCATCGTAATCACTCTCATCATCATCATCATCATCATCATCAACACCATCGTAATCACTCTCATCATCATCATCATCATCATCATCATCAACACCATCGTAATCACTCTCATCATCATCATCATCATCATCATCATCAACATCATCGTAATCACTCTCATCATCATCATCATCATCATCATCATCACCATCATCATCATCATCATCATCAACACCATCGTAATCACTCTCATCATCATCTTCATCATCATCACTATCCTCTTTTTTTTGTTTATTCTGGTTTTTCAACATGTTTATGGGTAGTTGCCCAACAACTTCCTACAAAACTGTGAGGAATGTGAGGAATGTGAGGAATGTGAGGAATGTGAGGAATAACCAACATTTTTTGCTGGCAGTGTAAACGCCCCCTGTAGGAATGCAGGGCTTAAATTAATTCAAGGCCACCAAGGCCATGGCCGTGGATGCCCCTTTGATTGGCCTCAATGCCCCTCTCCTTGGCCTTGGAGATTTTTTGTGCCCTTTCCAATTCTTCCTATTTGTGCTGTAATATAGGAATGTGCCCTACAGAAAAGTGGCCTTGCCCTAAAAATACTGAAATTTAAGGCCTGGGAATGGTTCTTCAACTAATACCAAATTATATTATACTAAGAATTCCAGGTTCATACAGAGTATTTTATACACGACTATCCCTATCAAGTTACTGGTACCCGCACACTTAGTACATCAGTGTGATGAGTAGTGGTTAACCATAAGCACAGCGTTTAACATCTTAAATACACCGCGCTTCATTGCAGAACTAATGATCCCTGACAAATGATTTCTCTGAAACGAATATGATTCACTATATCATGGTACAATTGATACTACTATGAATGTGACTTTTTACTATCAAACTACAGGCATGTCTTCATGAAAGCGGACTATTAGCCTGGCATAACTTAGTCCATTGAGTAATAGAATGCCACGTGTCAACCTTTCAAACACTCTGCAAAAATTGATGTGATACTCACTGATACTACAAAAAAATGAATGAATGAATGACATGCTATAAAGGTACTATATCCCATTTGCAGGCCAATAAAATGAAAAGGTTAAATTCCAACGGCATTTGAAAGATAATACTAATGTAGAACTTCCCGATAGAAAGTAGGGCTTGAAAAAGTCTTCCAGTGGGAAAATAACGACTAATAGTTGTGAAATCGACTTAGGAGCTATAGAGCCAATAAGTAATAGTCTTGTTATTACCAGAGAAGAAAAAAAGCCAGTCAGTCACTCAATAGTGTCTGACAGTGCAGTCTAGCAAGTAAACGGGTTTCCTTGCATAATTTGAATATTAGGACACTGCAAACGTTTAAATTTCACAGATAGGGACATACATGACATATTCATAATTCCTGCAAAGTTCTACAGAACTTGAGGTTAGCTGCAAAAGGGACATAGTACCTTAAAGCCCGAAATAAAAATGATTAAAATAATTTGATGACTTGATTCATGCTTTGTTATTTTGTTACAGAACTCCTGTAAACTGTTAGACATAAAAAGGTTGACAATCCATAAATCAGTAGACAGATTTTTCAATGAAGATGTAAGTGTAATACGGTTCACATTTCTGTGTCTTATATAACGTTCTGTATCTTAGATATCTTAGCTTAGGTATGAGAACTGATGTGTTGTCATGTTAAGTTTTATTAGTCTTTTTCTTCACTACAGACTTGTTCACATCTGCTAGTGTCAATGGCAGTGGTTTACTATTGGATATTTGAAAGCGTACTGTGTTTCACTTTCATGTAACACAGAGATCAGAGAGTATACACATTGGGCCTTTGTTGCACACAGTTACCATTCATTTACACAAACTATCACATCACATCTGAATGAGTCTCTTAACAAAGTTTATATCTTGACTAAAATTAATACTTCACACTTTTTAAAATATCTTAAATTAGGCGATGAAGCAGCATGAATTAGAGGAATATATTTGTGGTTATATCTCTACTGTTAAAAATAGGTATAGAGAAGGTGCTCTTCGTAAAAGAGATTTTCCAATCAATTTGTATATGATATGGCCATTATGGGGCTTGTTAGTATATGCTTGTTGGCAAATACGACGTCATATATGCCGTCAGAGGTTAGGGTACACACAAACACAACAGCTGAATCTATTTAACAACTCTCCATTTCTCTTTTGCGTTCTCTCTCTCTCGCGCGCTCTCTCTCTCTCTCTCTGTCTAGTTCTCTCTCTGTCTCTCTCTTCTTCCCCTCTCTCTTTCTTTCTCTCTCTGTCTCTCTCTTCTTCCCCTCTCTCTTTCTTTCTCTCTCTGTCTCTCTCCCTCCCTCCCCTCCCTCCCTCTCCCCCTTTCTCTTTATGTCCCTCCCCCTTTCTCTTTATGTCCCCCCCCCCCCTCTCTCTCCCTCTCTCTCTCTCTCTTTCTGCCCTTCCTCCTCCTCTCTCTCTCTCTCTCTCTTGATCTCTCTCCTCTCTCGCTCAGACATCAAACAAAGAAAACACAATAACTCTCCTAATGGATGCCTCAGACATTGCTCATTCTCAGTCTTATACCATCACATTTTCAATTATCTCATTTTTCTAGGGCTCTTGGCAAGGTCATTTTTTCCTATTCAATAAGAGGTATGGTTAATGCATATCTGTAGTCTGCTCCCTATAGCTCCACTGCTAACATTTTCACATAATCTATTTTTATATCAAGAGACAATTTAAACGCAGATGAATCTGCGCCGCACTTGAACACCTCTAATGGTTATATTTACTTTCTCTGAGTGAAAGGGATGGGTGTTTACACGATCATGTACGTTATTGATCAAGCGTGGAAACCACTTGGGAAGCTAGACACCTGTTACACACATGTCTGGAAACAGGAAAGCAGGCCTACAAGGGCAGAACTAATGGAGGGTGGTTTCAATGTAATAAAAGTGTGAAGAGCTTGTAAAAACACTGTTGTGGTATTACCAAAGCCTATCTATAACAGACATGATAAAAGGTAAAGGCCAGTTTTGGAAACGCCCCCCTCTCAAAAAATGAAATGAAAGATAATTACCAATCATGTGAACGAATATGTTTTGACTAATACGTGATCATACAAATTTTGCAGAGAAACCGCCTACTAATTGATATACTGGTATTTGGTAAATTATTATATCTATTTGAACCTGATAGATATAACACTTGTCGCGCAAATGTGCGAAGTCCCATATACATCTTTCTGTGTACAGTGCTTGTCACTTTACCAAGACCGGGCCAAACTTCTTATCATTTTGATGATTCCAGAACCTTGCAGTACACACCAATACTTATATGCTAGATGATCAACCTTTTCTGATCGATTCCACAGCGTTTCTTTCACAATGCAATCGCATTACGATAACTGGTCTTTATCTTTAAGAACTATGCTTGCAATTATGTTATTATTAGGCCTAATAATGATCAACAGTATTGCATACTAAGGAATTTCCTTGCTACCTGACATTTATTTTATAATTTTCACTTAATAACCTGGGTCGAGACGAAAACTGTGGGTGAAATCCATTTTTGGTGTATGGGCATAAATCGTCTGTTTAGAGCCATAAAGGGATTAATTCTGTATAAAATGGTTTGGTGAGGGGCCCTTTTGGCTCTAAACAGATTAAATACTCAATTTGAAATAAAGCCCACAAAGGTGTCATTCACAGAAAGTGAATTATTATATCCACACACAAACCCCAATCATTGACACACCCACATATCCGCTTCATAATATTTATTTTTTGCTTTAAGTCCGTTTGTTGATGGGTGAATGGTTTACTCATTGGCATGTGGCCAATTCAATTTGTTTGACCAGGGCTCTGTTGTACTTATAGAAAACATACAATGCCAGCACCACAGCTGTTGACTGTGTGGTAATATTTTCTTGTAAAACACCATACAAATCCATCCTCATCCCACTTCCTCGTTATTGCCAACAGTTACTCTCCAGTCTCCATGGCAACGCTATCATGAGCATCATGTACCTATGTGGATAGTAGAGGCAGGGGAAACACGAAAATAACCATCTATACCTAGGTAACACTTATCCAACGTCATCACCACCATCATCACCATCTTCATCACCATCTTCATCATCATCACAATCATCACCTTTATAATCATCACAATAATCATCATCAACACCATCATTACCATCATCACCATCACCTAAACCACCACCACCATCATAATCACCAAAACCACCACTACCACTACCACCATCTCCATCAACACCAACATAGCTACCACCATCATCACTGATAATATCACCATCACTACCTCTACCACTAACCACCAACTTCATTCCTTACACACACCACCACCACCACCATCTCGAAGCCTTACCCATACCACCACCACCACCACCAACCATCACAATCCTCCTCCTCCCCACCATCATACTTACAGCATTGATACCAGAGAGCTGTTGTCCTCCCTGAAGAATCATACAGATGAGCAGAGGCATCTTCCAACTTGGGTCCTTGAGGGTTATCACGTCCACGATTCCAACCTTCTCCTCAACTTCCACATCTTTGGATCCCTCCTCCCTGATCTCCCGAATCTCTTCTTCGACATCATCCGAGCCTCGTAGTCTTACCAGAGCTGAGGATAAAAGAAAATGATAGTCTCAGCCTTGACTCATGGAAGGCATAAACGTCATTTATTCAGTCTCATGATCACATCAGCACTCTCACCCTAACTATTAGTACATGTAACTTTTGAGAGAAAAAAATATTCCTTCAAAAGAGATTTTAGGTGCATTACAAATATTTTACTTTTATTCGAAAACTTATCTTTCTATCTTTATATATAAGAAACTTCGAGAGAGCAAGCCTCATGAATAACTCTCTCAACTTCATTCTCATCATTACTTTGTATTAAGTTACTAGAGACATAGAGAGAGACAGAGACAGTGAGAAATAACGAGAGACAAAGATAGAGAGAGAGAGGGGGAGGAAGATATATATATATATATATATAGAGAGAGAGAGAAATAAAGAGGGACAGAGAGAGAGAGAGAGAGAAACGGAGAGAAAAGAAAGAGAGATAGAGAGAGAGTGAGAGGTGGAAGGGAAGGATCGAGACGGGGGCAGAGAAGGAACCCAACCCACAGTTCGGGCAAACCTGAATTCAGAGATAATCGCACATCGCCATGCCATACCTTGTCTGGTCTTCTCTTCTTTGTTCTTGTTGAGGAGTAGCCATCTTGGACTCTCTGGGCAGAATGGTAGGAGGATCAGCTGGAAGGCACTCATCACTCCAATCAAAGCCAGCAGAATAGGCCAGCTGTCTTCTGCAGTGAAGGCGTACAGTCCTAGGGCCTACAGATACAAGAAAGAAATCACAAGGTTGGATCACAAATCAATAGATGGCATCATATTCAGTCTATCCCAGTTCTTTTTAATTTTGTTCTTATTTTTCTTTCTTTTCTTTCATTTTGTTTTTATGTGGGGGGGGGGGGGCTCTCTTTTTGTGCTCAATCATTTAGATTCTTCACGTACTATGGAACTACCCATGAAAAGCTTCAGCAACATACCCCTACAAAATCAATCCTGAAGCATCACAAAATCACAAAAAGTACCCATGAAGCACTTTTATTGGCATAAAAGCCAATCTTGAGGAGTTATCCATCTTTAACGTGTTCAATAGAATTAGGGAGTTATACATTTTTTTTAATATCAATCCCTAATAATGAAAAATATCATGAATCGATGGATAACTCCAAAATCTTCTCTTCGATTCATAGGGGAGAGTTTGGCTAGGATTAGGGTTAAAGGCCGTAGCCTCACTCCTCCCCCCCCCCCCCCCCCCCCCCCCCCCCCCCCCCCCTTCCCCTCACCCAGATCTTCTGTCCTGCCTCGCTGACTGAGTTGAACAGCATGGTCCCAATTGCCTATTAAACATGTACTTCATGGGGGTGTTTCACAAAGATCTTAAGTAGAACTTAAGTCTAAGTTGGACTTTACATTTATGTAGAGCCATTTGTAGCCTTAAAATGAAAATGAAAAATAATTTTTACAAAATATTTTCAAAGATGCTAACAGCTTTCCATAATTGTTGAGTCCAATTTAGAGATAAGTTCAACCTAGGATTTTGTGAAACACCCCTCCCCCCCCCCCCCCTGGTGTTTAGCAGAATTGTTGAGACTCACCTGACCAATGAGGATACCGATAGTGATCATCAACTGATGGATGACTCCAATGGCTCCTCTTAGATTGATAGGAGAGATTTCAGCCAGGTACAAGGGAACAATCGTAATGGCCGTACCTGTCAAATAAGATCAGAATAAAATAAAGAGTTGTGACTAGAATGACTTGTGGAAAAGGGTCTTCTATTATACTGTGGTCGCACCACTAGGCCGACCTTCAAACCAACTCTAGACCAACCAAATTTTGGCCATTGATGATAATATTAATGTCTGTTTGGTCTGTTGTTAGTCTGGTGGCGGTCTCATTGGTGTGCTGGGGGATTGGCAGAGGCATAGTATGAGTTGAGACATTGAGGGGCACTCACATCATGGGGGGAGGGGAGGGGGTGTGGGGGATACACAGAAAATGAAATTTCATTAGGGGGAGGGTACTGGAACTATCACTTTCTTTTCTAGTCCTTTACCTCATCTCTCATGACCATTTTCTCATCTGTTTTTATCTTTTTCTTTCTTTTGTCTTTTTCTTTTCTTCTTCAATCCATGGTCTCAAGACTTTAAGCTACTATGATTTTTTGTATAATGGAATTGCATTTAGACTGAAACTGGTTTAAATACTTTGTTCATCATCATATAGCTAGAAGTGTGTTTAGATCATCACAAAATACTGAAAACTTGATGGAAGTCACATTCACTAAGAGGCTCAAGTAATTTGAGACCATTTACAGAGGTGGGTAGGAATTATCAATCCAGTTTTCTTTGTTCATTTAATGAGCTATTATGTAATTTCTAAGGAAATATTTTGCCAGATATACATCCTTTATTTGTGGTCTCGAGGATTAAGCTACCGGTAGGTTTTTGTACCCTGTGTCTGTAACGACTTACTGTCCAACACTGTTCCATTGTTCCATCAAGAAAATAACATTTGAAAGTGACTTTTCACATCACATGAAAAAACAACATTTGAAAGTGATTTTACACATCACATTGAAAAACAACATTTGAAAGTGACTTTGCACATTACATGTGTTCTAGCAGTGTTCATTGAATTCTCTACATACACATACATGACTGTACTGCATGTATGTACTTTGGACCAGTGGCTTATCGATCCCGGGGATTTTTTTTCTACCTTTAAATAATAGTATTGACAGATATGCATTGTTCTCCAGTGCCAGTGGGCCCATTGAAGTGTTTAGTTCCAAATAGAGAGTCTATTCTTCCTTATCTACAGACGAACGTAGGTCAAGATTTAAGTGATTCAAATATAACCTTCCTCTCTGCAAGCATGACAAGCGCACTTTGATTTCAATAGTTAATCAATTAGGATATTGATATATAGTAGTCAATGAAACTCAAAGCATAAAGTTAAAAGTCCATTTCAAATGCTCCAATAAAGCTACTGATACACAATCATTAGTGCTATTAGGACCTATTAGGTACAATATTCATAAATGGTGATGGTAGAAACGTGTTAAATACCACTTATAAAAAAAGTATTTTACTGAGACATCTATGTCTTGAAAGAGGTGGTTTTTTTACCTCCAATGTTGGTGACATATTAGTTAAGGGAGAAAGATGCAACAGTCACCTTTTTCTTTTCTGCCTTACCAACAAGATGTTTATTGATCGTATTAGTTTAAGTCATACCATTGTTAATTGAACCTGCACATCTCCTTTTTGAAGTACACAGGTCTTTGGAAATCAAACCAAACTATTTGGCATACATGTATATCATTAATGATGAACAATTTTTATAAATGAATCATTAAGGCTTAGTGTGAATTTCTCTGCTTTTGTCAAACAATGTTTATGTGACTGTATAATTTCATGTGTTACTAATATGTTTGTCACCTTGTCTGATTACTTGAAATTTACCAAGTTCTTATTGAAAAACTGAAACTTAATGATCAAATTCAAAGAAAAGCAAGTCTATACATTTTTTTAAAGTCAAAATAAATGCACCACCCCCCCCCCCTTCAAATGGTCAAATGGAACATTAGAGAGATGTAGATCTCCAAGCTAAATCGATAAAAGCAAAGAAAACCCTTTTTCGATTGCCTTGTTCATCATTCATTGTGTAAGAGAAACAGATAGAGGAGAATGCAACGATGTTTGCTCGGTATAAATAGATCCTATCTGGCATGCTTCAAGAGAGTGCTACAAGTACATGTATGTCTTTAAAAGAAAAACGATGATTGTGACCCCACCGAAAAGTGCAGTTTGTATGCATAACTCCTATTTACTTTACTTTATGAGGTGCTCATACTTTTTTATAAGTGTAACATCAATAAAATCAGAATACAAAATTTGTACCAGCAAAGGTTACTTCTATTCAAACAGTATATATGAATTCATTCCTTTTCTTAGGGAATCATTTCATAAACTGATCCAATTCTGAACACCAGAGATGCGTTTATACATAAAGCAAAATATAGAGATTGTGCTTGATCACAAAAAAAGTCATATCCTATGTACACTATGGTTGCATCAAAATCTTAATTCTAAATTAATTCTCATTCATTGGGAAAAGGAAAGAAGTTGGGTTTTCAAGCATGACCTAGCTTTATGAAATGATGCAAATTCTCACAGAATTTCAGCATCCTTAATCCTTATTTCACAAGCTCATAAACAGGAAAAGAATAAGCATATTTCTGGGCAATGATTCATATTTCTTGGTTTAAAAGGAGTTTCATTTTTCATCTGCGGTCTATCTGAAATAAAAGCCTTTACTCATTACGAAAGAAAAAAAATGTAACTGCAGAGGTGTCTCTGTGTTGTCAGTATTAAAGTTAGAAACTATAATAGGTTCTTGGCAAATTACAAATATTGATGACTGTTCTCTTTCTATCAACTATAATTTTTCAAAAATAGCTTTTTGGCAAATTTGGTCCTAGAACATAATACTGCATTGTCATTGTTGTTTTTCCCTCAAAAAATGGCAAGTAGGGATGGAAAAAGAAGCTGCACACAACAAAAGTCCTATGCGATCTTGCTTATCTGTGTGTTAAGAAACTAAAGAGTCAAGTGCAACACGCTTAAGTAAAACAAACTTGTAAAACTGCTGCCGTTTACAACAGGAATGTGGCCAAACCTATAGTGAGGAGCAAGACCAATAGAGCTGTATATGACCACACGTCTTGTAATTGGGGTTAGCAAAGTTCAACAAACTCCATTTGATTTCCACAATTTTCTTGTTCCACTACATCCTTTTAACCTCTGACATATATGGCTGGCATTTGCAGACCACTTGGCTATATTTAGAAGGGGCTAGGGTTGTCTGATCAGTAAACTTGTTCAACCTGTACCACTGGGATGGAATGGTGACCCGCCTCCCATGATTGGTAGCATATCACTTGCACATACCACTCACACACTGTTCTGTTCTATCCAATGTTATAAGTGGCTCTATAAGATTTATAGCTGTAGCTGGTAGGAAGCCAAGTGCTTGTACCAAGTGAAGACAGAATTGAATTCTACTTTTCCTAGCACTAAACAATAACAACTTCAGATATTTAAAAAACAAAAATCAGAAATAGTGGAATTTGCATTGAATCAAATGGCTAGTTCTTCAGTCACTTTGAACAAAACAATATATTGGTGGAAAATTAAAAAAAAAAAAAAATAAGTTCATGATTGGTACATTGTGATCTTTATCAAGTAAACTAATTGTGCTATGCTCTATGGTCTTATTTTCATTTCGTCTCCATTACTTCTCTACCTTTATTTCCCTATCTCTTTATTCCTTTTCTCATCTCTCTTTCTCTCTCTGTCATACCATCGGTCATCTAACAGCCAGAAAATATCTTGACCTTTCTTTGGACGACAGTACTAATTGGGACATGGTAACTGGATCATTGTGGTCAGATCATGTTTAAATGACCAATACCTGTGGCAGATCCAGGGAGTATGGGGGAACACCCCTCCGGTAAAAATTGTTTGAACTCATGTACATTAGGGCCATCCTTCCCTACCTCCACAGTTAAATTCAATAACCATTTCTGGCCATTCGTGTGAGTTGTATTATTTCTTTGGAAGGTGCAATTTTTAACTCAGTACTCAACAGGTTAATTAAGAAATCATATCATCAAAATCTTCTATCTTGTTTTCAAAACGTTATTTGAAATTGAAACCAAAATGCCATTCAATATCTAGAGATGGCTCAGGCACACAATGGGCTGTTAATCATCGAGACAATAAAGACAGTTCACCCAGAACAATGACCAGACAGGAAAGTCTTTTTTTTCTTCTCTTTACATCACATGTACATGTATGACTACAATACTGTACTGAATCGCTTTATCATGATGTAAATCTTGATGACATTCATCAGAAGAATATCTCATGTTCACAAGGGCCAAAGGTTGTATACAGAGATCGCTCTATTATACTTTGTGGATTTAATCTTTTGACTGGAAGAGATAATATTCATGTTTATGACATAGATTATGAAGGTTGTGACTTGGTAAACAGAAGCTATTGTCTGGAGCTGATCAACATATTTTTCTTACTCAGACGATTGTTCATTGATTAAGTACAGGTACTTGAAGTCGTATGTCAAGGACATTTTTTAACTCCTTATCTCGTGATGTGACTGTGGCATATTTCATATTTTATGTTTCTCATATTTTGGCAAAGGTGTTGCAAGTTCCAACTCATGAAAATACAAACATGCAAGTAATATCCGTTCATGTACATGAATTTGTCATACGTGGAGGCCTATGTGTTGGGGATGATCGACGATGATTAAGGGAAAGGAAGGAAGGGCGGTGAACCTGTACGCACAACGCATTCATCTAGTCATGCTGGGTTCAATTCCGCCACTTATAAGTTGAAAGACAGATGCTTTACTAACGGAGCTATTACTTACTTCCTCTCTCTATCTCCTTCTTTTCCTTAAATGTTTTATAAACTATGAATAAATATCCATCTCCCATCTCCTGTTTCTTTCCTAACCCACATAAAACATAAAATACAGTTTTCCTACGATGCTTCCCTGCCTGAGCCGACTTGCTTCTTCTCTTTATCTGCTCCTTTCCCTTGACCTTAGAGAAATGAAAGTGTTTTTCCTTTTCTTTTCTTTCTTAGAAACATAAAACCCAGGCTTAAATATAGACGCTCAAACTACCGAGGCACCACTGGCTGTGAAATGACTTCCCTCTTTTTATGGCCGATGATCATTATAGTGCACAGCACTTTGCTATCATGATGGAAGCCTTCTATCTCTCTCATTAACTAAAGCAACATATGAAAGACTAGGGGGCTTTTTTCCAACCGGTAAGGGCAAAATCCCAACTGCCCCCAAATTGTTTCTGACACTTTTCCTTACCAACATAGAAACCGTGGATGAGTCTGCCTATGATAACCATCTCGTATGAGTTAGCCAACTCCGCAAACCCAAAGAGGACTGCCGCCACGAGGGAGAAGATGTTGATCATTAGGAGAGCTCCTTTCCTGAGGATGAGAGAAGCAAAATGAGACAAAAGTTACATATAATCACTTTGTAGAGCCACTCATCCTCTCCAAGCGCTATAGTTCTCCTTAGAACTATAAGCTAAGAAAGATAACAAACAGTCCTTTTCAGGACTACACACCCCCAAGAAAGATTACCGAGTCAGAGTCCTTTTCAGGACTTCTCAATCCTCTCTCTCTCTCTCTCACATGGTGCACCCGCAAGCCACCTGTAAATCACTTTGTAGTTTTGTAAGATGATGTGGGTAGAATTATTAGGATTTTGGATATTGGACGTCAGACAAAAAAATAGAGAAATTGTTAATCAATGTTATCTCTGAGGACATTTCAGACATAACAGTTTGGGTAAAATATTATCATTCTAAAAATTACATATACATCACTTTGTAGATTTGTAAAATGATCTACGTTGAACCATTAGGGTATTGGACGTCAGAAACAAAAGTTGCGAAATTGTTAATCAATGTTATCTCTGAAGACATTTCAAACATAACAGTTTAGGTAAAATTATCATTTTAAAATTACAAATACATCACTTTGTAGATTTGTAAAACGATCTACGCTGAACCATAAGGGTATTGGACGTCGGTCAAAAAATTAGAAAAATTGTTAATCAATGTTCTCTTTGGAGGATATTTCAAACATGACAGTTTGGGTAGAATATTATCATTCTAAAAATTCTTTATTTTATAGTACCATCATTTGGTTGCCTCTGACTTCACTTTTGTTATATCGCCATTCTTCTCTTTTTGTCTCTGTACCTCTTGTTTGTTTAATTTTTCTTTGTTTGGTTCTCTTTCTTTTTCTTGTTCTACACTTCTCGTCTTCTCCATATTTCTTTTCCTTTTCATCATTCATGTTCAATTTTTACATACATCTCATATTAAAACTAGGTTCTTGTTTGTCATCAAGTGCTCAAATGCAATGGTTTCAGTAGGTAAAAGCAATGAAGTAAGTTGTTACTGATAAAAAGTTGAATGAAACGGGCTATGATTCTTGTCTTCATGAGCTTTCTTTACGAAAACTTGAGAGACTTGTGATATATCAGAGATAAATCCTCCTTTCAATAAACAATTTACTCATTATCTTCAAGATCTTCTTGGTAAAAAGCTGGGCAAAACAGATGGATTCTATTTGTGATAAAACTCTTGTTTGATATATTATGAAGAATCTTATTTCAAACATTTTTTCCTGCATTTACAATAATATCAACCAATAACCAATCTCAAAAACATCAAAATAAGTTTCTAATTATCGAAAAAATGGCATTGAATGTCTTTTTTATCATTTTACTATAAATAGCTCTACTATCTAAAGCAAGGGCATAATTCCAAACACGATCCCAGCATCTGGGTAGGGGATTTGACGCTTTAGCTATCGCCTATCAAGGATTTGCGCACTATATTCCAATCATTGGCTAAGAAAAGTTCCCACGAACGATAATGCCAGATAAAACATATCTAAATGCAAATCCCTGAGATCTCATAACCAAGTTTGCTCTTAAGCTTAATAGGTAGCTGCCCACTTAATTGCATATAATAGTAGCAAAATTGATAAGATGTTCAATCCCTCATCAGATAACTTTCTTGATTGATAAGCGTGTCTTTGTTATCATAAGAACTTATATAACCATCCTTGTGTACACTACCGGGTACTTGCATAAGAGTAATAGGACTGGTGGCTCTTTCCTGTTTTGTAAATGTGAGTTTTGTTCAATTTTTAAGTTGTATTCGGGCGTACCCACTACAAGCTATGCTTTTCAAGTTTCGCGCCTTCTTCCTTGTAATACAAGTTCCTTAATTATATTTATGTTCCTACTTATAAATTGTATTGTTTGGAAGGGGGTATTTCAAAGAATTGAATCCTCAAGTACAATTTTGTAATACCCTGTAATCATTACAAACATTTATAACTTATTATTACAAATATTTAATCAAGCAGTCTTGTGCTTTTATTTCCTTGGTACCATCATGTTTCAGGTCCATGTCAAAGAACCTCTAGGGCAGATGGGCCTGAGGATGAAAGGGACTGTGTATAACCAGGACCTAGGCCCGATGACAAGTACGACATAGGACCAAGTGGAAAATCTACAGGACTTGAGAACCCTGACCGATGAATTTACCTTCCAAGTCCGTCGCTAAGGTACCCACCGACCAAGGCGCCGAGAGCTCCGCCGATGCACCATACAGAGATGGTGGCGGACCAGAGCCATAGGACACCTGTATCACTGAGAGGCTCACCTCGTCTGTCATAGTTGGACTGGTTGTAAAAATCTTGCATGGTCTGTAGAGGAGATAAATACAAAGGTATACCTTTAGTTTTAAGAACAATAATAATAATATTCCGTTCTTGATAGAGCAACGTCGATCTGGCGCTGCTCAGTGGCTGCCGGGCTCACGATCAATTGGGCAAAAAGAATTTCCATTTTCGGTTTAACTTTATAAAATTTGGAGCGGACTTGAAAAGATTATTCATCATTAATTGTTTTTTTCTGTTTTTTTTGTTTAGCGTATAACACATTATGATATAACATCCCTATGCCATCCAAAGAGATTTGGAAATTATTACCCTAGCTCTAGCTCTGGCAGACGTTTTCGGCACAGAGTGCATTTCAAGGAATAATCCTACCAGGTACCCATTTACCTCACCTGGGTCTAGTGTGGCAAATAGACATTAGTGTCTTGCCAAAGGACGTTAGTGTTGTGGCAGGGATTTGAACCCTCTACCTTGCAGTTCACATTCCAGAGACTTATCCAACGGACCACAACACCTCTGCTTTTGTAAGAAATGGGAATTTCTTAAGTTAGTTATTTACTAAAACCTTCTTCATGGTCTGAAGAAGGTAGATAGTCCAGAGTTCAAGACCACAGTTTAAGGATTACATTTTCATTGGAAAAAGAAGAAGACAAAAGACTTCAATTATGTATTAACACTTTTATAACACTGAATTTCTGCGTGAGAATAGCATCATTATGTCTCTGCCTTCATTTTACTAATCACCTTTGACCTCTGCCTCGGTGACCCCAAACTTTAAATCATTTCAAAAATCTAGGGAACGCCAGAATACTCTAAAATAATACAATATTCATATAATAATCATTCAATAAATCCATACATACTTGTGCCATGCTTTGGGTAAATACTTTGAATGTTGTCCAATTTAATGAAATAATACGTAAATTGACTTGATTATATTTCACATTTGACCTAATGAAAAGAAATGAGATAAAAATATAGGGTGGACGGATAGTTTGACAAGCTACAAAATGAGGGGGCAAATCAAATTCCTTTTTTGTGTTGTGAAATAATATAGTTCGGTATTGTCACATCCAGAAAAAACGAAGCTAAAATATTCTGGAAAAAATATCCATGTACACTTCTGTTTATTTCAGACTAACTAATCTCTAACGGATTTTATGAAACGAGAGATTTTTTGTATTGATGTTTTCTTCTTCAAATAAATGTGTGTGAATTTTTAAATGAAATAGCAAGCATTTTAATGTCAAGATAAGAGTATAAATACATTTATAAATATAATGTTACAGAGACAAGAACATGTAGTTCGTCAGGAGTTTCAATTTGAACGCCAAGTTTGGCCGTGTTTTCTTTCCGTATCTGTCAACCACAAAAAGTCAGGCGACAGTGGCTCAACGGATATCGATAGCACATACCCAGCATATTCCATGACGTCACCGAGTGTTACGTCTACGGAAGACAGACGTCAAACTTTCGCTGCGTCTCTAATGGGACAATGTGATTGCCGAGCTCTAGCCCAGCGAGCTTCCGACGTAGGAAATGTTTCTTGGAGAGGCACTTGTCTCACCGATGAAATGCTATAAATACGCCGAGTAAACATTGCCGAAAGGAAAGCTAACACCCGAGCTGGGGGCGCCGAGAGAATTCCTCGGGAGGTGGGATTCGCCCGGGATGTCATTGATGTAACTTTCTAGCAGGCTGTGCGTCCTTTTCAAAGCGTTCCCAGCAGTAACTCGTTGTACGTAATGAGTTTGTCTTCTGTCTTTTTTTTTTTAATGAAGATCTCTTTTTCTTTTTTTTCAAGAATGCTTCATCTCCGAAGCAAAACGTTCATTTTTTCATATCTATAGCTGTCATAGCTTCAACATTTTGGGTCCCAAATAATATACAAATAATGAATGGTTATGAGTTCAATAGTGCGAATATTTTCATGAGTTGAAAGATTAACATTCTATTCAACGAGGCGTCAGCCGAGTTGAATAGAATCAACGTTAATCTTTCAACGAATGAAAATATTCGCACCATTGAATGAATCAAAAACATTCATTATTTGTTTTATACAACATCGAAGAAGATCTAATAGAACGTTAATCAACAAATTATGCTTTACTCCTTATATCAAAGATAAATTAAAGTTGGAGTCAAGCCTTCTCGATTACATTCAGATTGCCTGCGCGTCAGATACACGCAGGGATACGCGCGCGCACGGCTGAGAGGAACGCAGGCTGCATATAACCAAAATTGCACGGCGCATATAACCAAAAATGCACGACCGTGCAATATAACATCTATTGAATATCACGTGACCAACAATCCTCCAATCAAATGACAAGGATCCACGTAGGTGTTGTATAAAATATATTAATATTATGGGGGAACCGGAACATACTATAGAATTATTTTTCAAAAAAGTATTTGTCGGCAAAACTCTTTTTTGACTTAATAAAATTAGTGATGTGTAGCAAGGACAGAGACGACGAAAAGTGATGAAATAAAGAAGAAAAAAACATATTCAACACAAAAAAAGTCATTAGCCATTTCCAACATGTTCCATCAATATTTTTAAGTAATAATTACACAATGTACTTTCGCGCGAACCGCTTCCCTTTTACTTTCCCCAAAGAAGAAAAAAGATAACCTACTTATTCATTTCATAGTCCCTTACTGATTTACGTGCAGGGGTAAGAATGCAGAATGAACCCGATGAAGACATGACTTTATGCTTGTCTTCACATTGTGACGTAATGAACATGATACTCTGCTAACATGGCGGCCAGACATGTTCACAAACATGTTCACAAACATGTTCACAAACATGTTCACGTCACAGAGGTTCTCAAAGGATGCATCGTCTCAAGTATCATTTAAAACATCACCGAAAGGACAATCAGGTGATATATTTTCTTGTAAAAGGAATACACTTTCGACAAAAGAATTCCTATAACAAACTGATTCGTTATCAATGCAGTAAATTACTTGTTTGAACCAAAAAAAATTAAGAATTAGACACGTTCACAACTACCTTCGAAAAGCAATTCAATAGCAACACTCAGTCTTAATTTCGGCGGGTTCTGTGAAGATTTCACTTTTATTCAATTACCAGGTCTCACATACTGTCTCTGAAAATATACAAGAGTAGAAATTTCATCGAAAACAATTTTTTTGATCCTCTCAACGTTTTTTTTTTAAGGATTTTAAAGATTACTTTTCTCATTAAATTTCTTAGCATGAAACGCAATGGCCCGAGTTCACAGAGGAGGTTTGTCGACACGTCGCGTTTTGACGCGTTGTAAAAACGCGTCGAAACGCGTCATATGACGCACGAAAACTAAGGTTTGTCGACAAACCTCCTTTGTGAATTCGGGCCAATATGGCCAAGCAACAAAACTGGATGCACTCCAAGACGCTGAGCAGAAATTTATGCCCTTTCTTCTCATTGTATACTATTATCTGGTATATTTCCAGGGCTCTGAATCAAGAGTTACTGAACGAAACAACATGATGTGGAATGACTATTAAGACTGTCGCGAAAGGGTTAAAGCCCAATTCACTACGTGAAGTACAGACACATCCTTCAACCAGGGACTTGATAGATGTCTATCAAGTCCCTGCTTCAACCAAGGAACTTCAAGAATTCCCTGCTTCAACTTCTCGACTTGCGACTTGCCAAGAAATTTTCCGGTGTCTATGTTTTCATAACATGGACCTACTTGAATCTACATGTATGTTCTCACATGATCATTTCCACATATAACTCTAACACCCCTTATCAAGATCATTGATCAAGAACGTGCATGGTGCCGTGCATCAGACACGTGCCCCACCTTTGTTTCTTTGCCAAAACGTCTGGAGTATTTCTTTTTCTGTTTTTGTAACCGTAAACCTATACAAGAGATAGCTCCATTGTGTTGACCTACATCCATTTAATGTCGTCAAGCAGCCAAAAACCAAGTCATCAAGCTCATCATCCTATCTGAAAGCTGATGCCGCTGGCGTCACTTCTCTGCTATAAAGAAGATACCTCTGGAAGGCCTATACGTGCCTTCTTCATGTCCTTGTTTTATCTGAACTCTGCGGATAATTCTTGTTTCTGTTTTGTGTAACATCGGCCTACATCTCCTTGGTTTAATAGATAATACTAGGGTATCATCCGAATTGCTCCGGGCTTTATTTGTTCACAATTTTAGGATTACAGTTTGGGTTGCAATTGGATTTGGTGTTAGGTTTGGGAGTAGGGTTACATAGTGATTGTTCCCGGGTTGAAATTATGATTACTGTTTTTTAGCGACGAAATTTACTCTGGAGTAAACGTCGAAGGAGCAAGTAAAGTACAATCGGCATGACTGGAGAGGTAGAGTCGTTGGCATCTCGCTACGAACATGAAGAAGGCGACATCACTGCAAGTCTAAAGCCTGTACCTGACCTTGGTCGTGTCCTTGTCATACCTAACCTATGCGGATAATCTATGTTTCTGTTGTCATAACATAGGCCTATATCTGTCTATAGTTTACATAATTATATCCAATATCACCACATGGTATCATCACTCTTGAATCTACGTCCACGCATACATCAAGCTATCAATAAGGTTACGCAAGTAACCACTTATCACCTTTGGGGACTCCTTGGGTTACGTATACTGTCTTGTTCATCGTCTCATATACAGGTGTATATCACCTACGACAGTCTTGGGTATCTCTCTCTGTTTTTATAACACAGACCTACTTGAATCAAACTCATGCCATGGTGTGGTTATCACGGAGAACTTTTACATTGACTGGCAGTCATTTCAACGTTCAAGTAATAGTCGACGTCTTGACGACGTCTTGTCTAAAATAAATCTAGTTTACCTCTGTCTGCCGTCTCTGTTTTTTATAACGCCTACCCATTTTATTTAACACCATTATGATGAAACATCAATTGTCTTTATGCATCGACACCTTACTTTACCTTTCGGTCTTTCATAACATAACCCTATCGAAAAATGGCGTCGTTTCTTCTCCGCCATAATATTGATAATGATATGC